TTTTAGTTTAGTTAATCAAAGAGATGATCAAGTTGACAGTCAAGAACAGCCACCACACCCTCCAAGTTTGTCTCTGTAAATAAATTATGTTTGTAGTTAGCATGACTACAAACATAGCTCTGATCATGAGAGAATTTATCATTTATAAGGCAGCTGACCATTGGCTTTTGTCTCAGTCATCTACAGTAACTCTCATGAAATTAGAATTTTATAGTCTGTTATAATTTTTGACCTATAAGTAGATGGGGAGGGGGTAGATGGGAGTTGAGTGTGGAGGAAACAGGAGGAGAGGAGGGAGGGGATACTGTGGTTGATATGGAAAATAAATAAAAATAATTAATTACTAAAAAAAATTACAATTTTTTTTCAAGACAGGGTTTCTCTGTGTAGTCCCAGCTGTCCTGGAACTGACTGTTTACCTCAAACTTACAAAAATCCACCTGCCTCTACCCCCTAAATGCTAAGATTAAAGGTGTGCACCATCACCACTGCCTGGCTAAAGTTACAATTTTTGAATTGAAGTTCTTTTAGTATCAAGTAAATTTTGAACCATAAATACAGCCCATGGAGAGACTGGAAACCTCATTTTCCTAATCCTCTTACGGTGTGTTTTATAAAATATTACAGTATTTTAAAATATATATTGAAGCACAATCCTAATTAGTTTTAATCATAAAATTCCAGAGTCAGATATTGGGGTAAGAGCTGAAAGCACAGAGAAGAAGCAACCATGGTCACCTTTTACCTCTCCAACTCCTTAGACCAAAAAAGGCCAAATTCCAGTCTCTGGCCTGCCTTATCACTTCCTGTCTATCTGTACAGACCTTTAAACCTCTATGGTTAACTAGTGGCTAGCTCATCCTCTGATCTCCAGGCAAGATTTATTTGTTAGAACACAAACAAATATCACAACATTTCCCACTTTTTGTCTAAAATAAAAAAGCAAAGGTTATAACTAACACAGAAAAACTATATACAATAAGTACAATAACTATATATAATATATACAGTCAAGAATTACATTAACAATGTCCAGTTCATTAATATTTGACCAGTTTATAGAAAATACTCCATGATCTATCCTATCTTGATGAGTCCAAAGTGCTGTACATAATTTAGTTTTTATCCTAACTTACATTACCAATCCAAAACTATCTTTTGAGGTATCTCAATCTTATACACTTTACACCTCTTTAGTGAGTTTCTTTTCTGAATTTATTAACAAGAAAAACTATAACTATCTAGTCTTCACCTCCATCAGAGACCTGAGAAGGAAATAATATTACCTGAGTAAACAGGAAGTGCGAACAAGTGACTTCCAAAAACTGTGAGCAATGACAGACAGCTGACAGCCTGGGCAGTCGCCCAAGGTTCCTCTGTAACACTGGGGCAGCCATCTTTGACCTACAGGCCTAGGATATCTGACAGGCTTTCTGTGAAGCAGGATATTCTGAAAGACTATCCTACCTTGTCTTGGCAAAATTTGGCAGTCACTTTCTTTTGTGTACTGCTTGTCCAATTAGGACAGCATACTGTTAGAAGTTTAGGTGAGGTACTTTCTTTCCTAGTGGCTTACTTTAGCCATAAATAAAGGAAACTCCTGTGGAGTTTCTTCTTTGATGCCCATTATCTTCTCCGCAGTAGATTGGTGCAGGAGCAGGCAAACCTTATTGTCATTAAAAAAAAAAAAAGAACCTTATATAACTATAACATCTTAAATGCTATATTTTGTAGATTTCTAATGTGTTTGAAGACCTCCTACCTATCTAAAATATCTTTGTTTAACCTTGAAAACATACTTAACATGACTACAAGTTCGAATGTAATCAGTGACTAACACGAACCTGTCTTCCTATATTATTCTAAATAGTTTGTAATAATAACTTTCAAAGACTAAAAATTTGCATTATAGCTGGGCACTGATGGAGCATGCCTTTAATCCCAGCATGCGGGAGGCAGAGGCAGGATCACTGTGAGTTCAAGGCCAGCCTGGTCTACAAGAGCTAGTTCCAGGACAGGCCCCAAAACTACAGAGAAACCCTGTCTCAAAAAGCCAAATTGCATTATATTGTTAAATGAGCTGTGTAGGCACAATACTGTGAACAAGAGTAGAAATATATGAACAGCATATTCTAACAAAAATAATCTTAAATTTGTATCAATATACAAAAATTCTTATCAATGTAAAATATTTAAAACTAGTAGTTGCCTTTTTGGTTTAAAAGTAGATTCAGTAATCTACCTTTTAATCCTATCATTTCTATAACATACAGTATAACAAAAATAACCTCAACTGAGCAGTGATGGCACATGCCTTTAATCCCAGTACTCGGGAAGCAGAGGCAGGTGGCTCTCTGTGAGTTTGAGGCCAGCCTGGTCTACAAGAGCTAGTTCCAGGACAGGCCCCAAAGCTATAGAGAAACGTCTCTCAAAACACACACACACACACACACACTAAATAAATAACCTCAATTTTGTATCAATATGTAAAAATCCAAGCTAATGTAAAATGTTTAAGCCTCTGAGCTTCAGGAGCTGGCAGGTGGGAGGGAAACCTTCGGTTACAATATATAACTCAGTTTCTTCAATAGCTAAAGCTTAACAAAGTTAGCAAAGGCACAGGTGATGACACACATCATACCTCAGTTTCTGTTAACATGGACAGACCATTGTAACTCAGGATACACATGTTTATAAACTGTAGTCACCCATCCATATGTGCACACTCAGGCCTCCTGAGACTTTGTTTTTGCTTTCCTGGTTTTGTCTTTATTTGCTTTTCTTTCATTTTTATGACAAAGTTTCATCTCATCATATAAAAATTCATTCTTATTCAAAAGATTTTAAGCTTCTTTTTTTCCAGAAATACAATCTTATAACTTTATATTTGTTAAAATTTTCTTAAACCTATTTACTGTTTCTCTCTATTTTCTTAAAACAGAGTTGAATCCAAATTCATATATGGCATGTTGTAGCAAATTAAGATCACCTATACATAAACTTTTAATTATTAACCTTTTTGTTACAAGTTTTAGGTTAGCTTTTTCCCTGGTTGGAATTTTTTTTCAGTTTATTTAAACCATCACCTGTGGGCACACAGATCCTGAGAGGAAAGTTTTTCAGCAAGAGTTTCAAAGACATCCATGTGCTTGAATAGGAGAACATCTTTGCTAAAAAAAAAAAAAAAAAGAATCAAGAAGGGGAAAATTCATAAAGTTGGATATTTGTAATTATATTTAGTAGGCCTCATCCAGTCCACACAGCAGCGTCACGACTGCTGCAGGGGTGAGCTCTCTCCCCATTCTTTTTCTTACACCCAAGTTTTCCCAGAGAACCTTGAGATCTCTCATAAGGCCTAATCACATACAACCAGCTAGGAGGAAAGACTGGCTACTCAGGTGAGAGCTGATGACCTTGTCTGCCTTGAAGCCCAGTTGTGATTTTTTGAAATGTGGTATATATTATGTAACACAAAATATATAAGAAAAATTTATATATATGTAATATATATTTTATTATCTATATTTTAAATTGTGTGTGTGTGTGTGTGTGTATGTGTGTGAATAGACATACCGTGTTCTGCCTGCAGGCCAGAAGAGGGCACCAGACCTCATTACAGATGGTTGTGAGCCACCATGTGGTTGCAGGGAATTGAACTTAGGACCTCTGGAAGAGCAGCCAGAGCTCTTAACCTCTGAGCCATCTCTCCAGGCCCCAGTTGTGATTATTTTAATCAGGCACAGCTGGAGTTTTGAGTGATTTTTTTAAAGACGTAGGGTCTTTTTCATCCATAACCAGTTTGTGTGTGTCTGAAGATGGAGGCAGACAACCTGAAAAACACAGCAAGTGTTTTTTCTCCTATGAGAACATCAAGTTGCCAATAAATAACTTACAGACCATCAAACAGAAACCATAAAAATTCAAACTAGAGTGTCTAGGCTTGTGTTTAGAATCAACCAGCATAAGGTAAAAAGGAGTTCCAAGAGCAGTTTCAGGTCATACATCAGGAACTTTTTCCAGACAGAAAAACATGCCTTGCATAAAGAAACTTGCTGTGCATGCCACCGCCATTCTGAAGCGGGTGTGTGTGTGTCCTGGACTCATTGGCTGTCAAGACTGCTGCAATGCCTGGTTCTTCGTTGGGGCAGAGAAATGGCGGGCGCGGGGCAGGGGGACTGGGGGGACGGACGGGATAGCTGTCCTGTTTCCATTTTGAAGTTCTGGATCCATGGTTCCCGCAGTCACTATTTCCCCTTTGTGACAAGCTGTCCCAGCTGAGGCATAATCTTTTTGTCTATTTTGTTTTGTTTTGTTTTTTGAGACAGGGTTCTCTGTGTAACAGTCCTAGCTGTCCTGGAACTTGCTCTGTAGACCAGGGTGGCCTCAAACTCACAGAGATCCGCCTGCCTCTGCCTCCCAAGTGCTGTGATTAAAGGCGTACGCCACCACCACCTGGCATAATCTTGACTTTATGACTCATTTCCCAAGGACTCGGGGAACCTTTTGGGGGAAGGGGATAGAAGTTAATTAGTCCGTGCTCTAGGAGAAGTTGCAAAGCCGAGTTGGAGGGATCAGAAGTGTTAAGATGTGCTGGGAATTATGTGGTGGGAGGAGTCTCAAACCCTTCTCCATTCTGTCTTATGAATTTATCTAAATAAATTTAGATATTAAAATCGATTTTTTTTTCAAACTGGACCAGTGGTGGCCATTGTCTAATTGAGGCCAGATTTGGACTGGGAGCCGAACAAGTATGAGTGATCTCAGGTCTCCTAAATGGAGATTTTTTTTTTTTAGATTAGCCCACAGAGACACTAAGGATGTGTACTTTGGAACCCAGAGTCGGTGCTGAACCAGGTAAAAAACAGTCATCTGGAGGCATTCCTCAGGTTTCTGATAGATCAAAAGTGCATGGAAAGTAGGAGGGGCGTCCCCAGACTAGTATATTGTTAAGGAGTCAGTTGCTCCCAGGCTGTGGAAACCTCTCTTAACTTTCACCTAAGTCTTGCAGGAGCTGGAGAGAATTCCTGGGACTCTCGATTGAGCGAGTTTTGTGTGTGGAAAGCTCCCAGAAGCATCGACCCGGCAAGTCTCAAGATGAGATAGATCGGTCATTCCTTGAGCCTCTGTGGCCTAACGAGGGACCCGAAACCCAGGTAAGAGTCCTCGCTTCCAGTGTACTGAGAGGAGGACGCTTGCACTTTAGCCAGGAACTCAGTTTCCGTGGCAACCAGCTGGAAGCGTGGTCTCTGACAGCCCGGGCATCTCTATGGTTTTTGTATCCTAGAAGGACCGAAGTGCACTTCCGGGAAGATGGCGACACCCACGCCTGGCGTGACACGTGCTTCCACGGAGAGGACCGCGCACTGAAGGTAAGGGGTTTGCTTCCTCAGGGACAGGAGCAAAGGCGGAGACCTGCCAGTAGTTCCACCCTGCTGACTCTGCTGCCGTGGAGAAAAAGGCAGCGGCCAGCCTTTTAGGCTCCTGCAATCGGGTGGCTCTGGCCATCCCTGAAAACTGAATGGAGAGGGGACAGTGCCTCAGAGTGCGCTTGCAGCCTTCACAGATCTAGCTGCGTCTGCCTACGCCTGGCTATTGCTCAAGTATGTTGAAAGCGATTCCTACTTGGTTACTCAGTTCTGTTCAAAAACACTGAACGCGTTCTTATTGTCAAGGGCTGGGAAATAAAATCGTCTCCGACTCCGGGGAGTATGGTTCTGAATTACTGTGTCGAAGAATAGGATGTGGGAAGTCTTACAGAGAGCATAACAAACAGTAAGAACCCCAAAATAGCAGCTTCTGAAATTCCTCACTATCAGTCCTGGGTCTATAGCTAATTTGGTTTCAGCGAGTAACTAAAGTTATCAGTGCCCGATTTCTTCTTCATAAATTACGGATAAGGAATACCTTCTACGATTGTTGGCAGGCATAGATAGAATCAATGTGAAGCAGTTAAGAGCAGGCTGGTGTTGAGTCAGTGCACTACAAGTGTGGAGTATGATTGTTGTTAAAATAATCAAAGATAATTTCTGAGAGGTTTTAAGGTGACCTCAGTATCTAAATTTTACTTGTGTTTCTATATCAAGAAGCAAGGTAAAATCGGAAGAGAGAAGCTGGCCGGTCTCGAACCCCGGCCAGCCGGTAATTAGACCCTATCTAAAAACAAAAAAAGACAAGGGGGCGAAGGGTAGGGCCACTTCACTCTTTTTCTGTTGCTGTGCTCAAGGTTCAGGTATCACTTGAGCTTTATATAACATCCTTCCTTGTGGAAAGGCGGATAGAAATGTGGTTTGTCCTAAATGTGCCTCCTCTTTATACTTGAGATGCCTGATAGCCCCAGCCCCCTTAAAAGGTTCTGTGGACTTTGCTGACTTTTAGCTGTGCAGAAGTTGGAGAATGTTCCTAGCCATGGGAGTACATAGAGTATATTCTCCCAACAGAGCAATGGTATCACTTGTGTGCTACTTGGGAAATTACATGGTCTATGCAGTCATAAGAAAGGGGAAAGGGCAAGTACATGGGAGGGTTTATGGGAAGAGTTTTATCTCATGGGCCTCAACCCAAAGGGGTCTGTCTGGCTTTGAGAACCGAACTTACTGTTTGAGGTAGGGTCTCACTATGTCCCCCTTACTGGCCTGGCACTCAGTATGTAGATGGGATGGCCTCTGTCACTTAGATCTGCTGCTCTGTTTCCTGTGCACCACCACACAGGGCTGCCAGGACTGTTTTATTATTTTTTTAAAATTTATATTTTATGTGTACAAGTGTTTTGCCTGCTTGTATGTATGTACATCTGATGCATGCCTGCTGTCAATAAGAGGGTGTGGGGAGTTGTAAGCTGCCTTGTGCTTACTGAGAACCAAACCCCTTTTCTGTTCAAGAGCAGCAAATGCCTTAACCACTGAGCTATCTCTCCAGGCCCCCAAACTGTCATTTTATACATCATATCAATAACTTCCTTGTCTCTAATAGTCATTATCCTGTGCGTTGACCTCACTGCTAGGGAAAGAACTGCCACAGATTTAGTGGCTTAATTCGATAAATAAATAATAACTCTAAAAAGAATTTATATGTGTGGGTGTTTTGTCTGCTTGTATGTCTGTGCCCCATGTGTGCCTGGTTCCCTGAGGAGATCAGAAGATGTCAGATCCCCTGAAACTAGTTTGTGAGCTGCCATGTGAGTGCTGGGAATCAAACCCACAACTCTGGAAGAGCACCCAGTTCTCTTAACCACTGAGCCATCTCTCCAACCTCTGGGGCTTTTTATTTATTTATTTTTTGAGTGTATGTATGGGCGTGCACACACATGGAGGCCAGACGTCAGCCTGAGATGTAATGTCTCAGGAATTAACCGCCTGTTTTTTGAGACAGAGTTTCTAACTGTTTGGTTAGGCTGTGCTGGCCTAAAATAAAGCCCTGGAGAGTTTCCCGTCTCCATCTCCCACACTAGTGCACACCACTGTGCCTGGCCTTTTTCATGGTACTGTTGCTTTTTAAAGTCCTGTCTTACACTCCTGGCCACCTTTTATCTCTTGGTATCTTATGGATACCTTATGGATGGTATCTTATGGATACCTTATGGATATCTTATGGATGGTCAGGGGTTAAGAGTACTTACTGCTCTTCCAAAGGACCTGAGTTAATGTCCAGCACCCACATGGTAGCTTGCAACCATTTATAATACAAATTCCAGAGCATCTAACACCCTCTTCCAGTTTCTGAGAGCACTGTATACACATGGTACACATACATGCAGGCAAACACTCAGACAGCTAAAGTTCAAAGAAGTCTTGTTTCTAAAAACATTATTCTTTCAGAAGTGTTTGCAATGTTCAAGAGGGCCTAGGCTGTTCTAGGGTTGAGGTGTTGTTTTCCTCTGCTAGACTGATGTCAGGACATCCATCTTGATCCCCATTGCTCCCCTGAAATTAGAATACTGTCTGTACAAAAAGTATCAAAGAGTAGGCCTACTATGAAGTACAGCAATAGCCAAGTAAGCACCAATCGTTTAAGGAAGTAATGGAACATTGTGCATGGGGGGAAAACTTGGAGTAAAACAGGTGATTTTTAAACTCGGGCTAAAACAGGTGATTTGGTCCTGAGTTGGCAGAGAGAACTAAGGGAGGAAATATATCAAAGAAGGCGTGGTAGGGCTGGGTAGGCCCTGCCTCTGGGAGAAAGGCTAACGGCTGACTGAAAAGAGAAAGGTTAGGAAACACAGTCATAAAACCAAGAACAGTCCCAGCTCCCAGGAGGGGGCCCTGTAGACCTGGTCGGTGTGTGTTCTTTGGGAGAGATAAGGAGAACAAGACAGAGCTAGCTAAACTAACACCAGGTATTAGAGGGGAATGTGCTGGAGGGAGGTTGTATAGGGAGAATATGAAAGCCATCTGGCCTTTGGTTGGCTTGCTGATTTGGTCGAGTTTGAGTCTCTTTAGGTTCCTTCCCAGGCTCCCAGAAGTCAGCCTTTGGGAGCTAGTGTTACAGTCATGGGCTGAGCATTGTCTCACAGGTGGAGTCTCAGGTACAAGTTACACCTTTTCAGGTTCCTGGCTGCAGGTGCTGGGCCTGCCCTGTGCTATTCCTGCATCACTGGCGCACTGCTCGACGTGTGTGCAGACTCGCGTCCCACTAGGTTTCCACACCAATGACTAATGTCCAGAGGCTCCTGTGTCACTTGTGTGTTGCCGTTTCCCAAGAGTGCAGTTCATGAGGGGGGCCCTTCTGAAATGGTGTTTACAGCTGTCCTGTCAGCACCAAGTGAAAGCCTGGCAGCTCTGCCCCACTGAAGCTTCCTTTGTGGATTCTGTCTCACTCTGCCCTTTGAAGTGTCTGTTATGGAATTACTATGGTACACTGCAGGTTTTCCAAGCCCCTCTCTCTCGAGCCGCATCTCCTGCTTTGTAAAGTTCTGTTTGCTATTACAGCTAGAAACATCCAGGTGTCCCTCGTGTCTTACATTTATTAAATACCTTTTTCCTGTTAATTCCTTGGGAGACTTGGACAGCCCATGCCTGGATTTCACCTCTCACCTTCTGCTCATCATTCTTAGACCAATATATAATATTTAAGAGCATTTCTTAAAGTTTTTTGGACTCCATAAAGGGTATTTAGTAGACTTTAAATCTGATGAAAGTTTTGCCTTTTAGAGCTGTCTCTTTGAGAAGCTCCAGATTTACTCAAGTAGCCCCGTTAGTCAGCTTTGACAGTTTTCTGCAGCCAGGGTGGTAGCACATAGTATTGATCCCAGTACTTGGTAGGCAAGCAAGCAGATCTCTGTGAGTTCAAGGCCAGCCTGGTCTACAGAGAGTTTCAGGCTAATGGGGGCACATAGTCTCAAAACAAAAAGCAGTTGTCTCCTATGCCCATAACAGATGATTTTAGCACAAACCGACTCTGGTAGTCTGTCTGTTCAGTGTTATGTGCCTGCTTAACTGCTTCGGAGGCAAATTTAGTGTACAAGGTGGGTCCAAAAGGAGTATGTGTGAGTAACTGTAAAGAAATGCAGTTACTCAGAATCATGCGATTTGGGCTAGTGTTCAAATTGCTTGAATGGGTCTTCAGGCAAGAAACCCAGGTCCTTTTTTCCTCACTTGTAGGACGAGTTAATACCTATCGGACAGGAATATCTGTGAAGTATAATGAGGTGATAATGTATGACACCCATCTTTGTTTACTTAGTGTTGCTAGCATCCCCTTCCTAAGCTGAACAGTTTAAAGGGAGGCTTCTGGAATCTGAACCAGTCATTAGGAGGAAGATTGGCTCCCATACCAAGACAGTACAAATGCTGGAGCACAGTATAGACGGTAGGCTCTCTTAAGGACCAGTCTCTAGCTCAAGACACCAAACACCTCATTGCTTTGATTTTACAGGGTAATAATTTAGGGTGATCTTACAGACTCTGCAGACAGGCTTACTGGTTTAAATTCTCCATATGTTAGTTGTGTGACTTTCTAGCGAGCTACTCATGATAGTTTACATTTTAATGTGTGTCTGTGTGTGTGTGCATGTATGTTTGTGAATGTGCATGCGTATGGAGGTCTGAAGACAGTCCATGGAAGTTAGTTCTCTCCTTCCACTAAGTAAGTCTCTAGGATCAAACTCAGGTCCTGGGTTTGGCAGGAATCACCTTTACCCACCTAAGCACCTCTCTGGCCATCACTTCCTATTGTCTAGGAGCCAAGGCCAGTGAATGGTGCTGGGGATTGAACCCAGGCCTCACGCAGGCTCACAAGCATTCTACCTACTAACCACACGGTGCCCTTTTCTTTTTCGCTCACTTAGGGTCTCATATAACACAGGCTGGCTTCAACCTTTCTAAATGGTTCTGGGTGATACAAACTTCTGATCCTCTTGTGTCTGTATTCCAAGTGATAGGATTATATGTGTGTGCTATAGGATGCTGTGGGTTGAAACCTGGGACTTTATGTGCTCTGTTGTCCAAGCTGCATCTCCAGGGCTTTCTTTCCCTATTCAAAGGATGGTACCACATCTTCCCTGGTGAGAATCTGAGGACAAAGACTCTCTGCCAGCCATGAGTGTCACCCCAAAGGTCAAGAGTCGTGGGATGAAGTTTGCTGAAGAGCAGCTGCTAAAACATGGATGGACTCAAGGTGTTTTAGGGCCCCTTCCATATCCTCCCAACTCCCTCTTTCTGCCCCATGTCAGTTCAACCAGAGGAGAAACTAGTTTGAAAATTTTAGAAGCATAAATTTTCTGGCCTATTGGAAAAAGGAAGAATGGATGAAATTCTCATTCTTCAATAATGGGGGAATAATGAGGTAAAAATAGTTGGGCAGATTGGAGGAGCCAGTAGAAATACGACAGAAAAAGATCATCCTGGGTCAGATAGAGGCACTTGTGGAGTGAGGAGATTCGGAAAGGGACATAGTAAACCCAGTGATCAGTGAAAGGCACAGCGGTTGACCCAGGAGGACTTGCTGAGGGCTCAAGGCAAGCTACAAAGTAAACCACTCGCTGTCCTCTGCAGGCAAAGGCCTGGGCCGAAATGAGAATGGCATCACCCAGGCCCTCAAGGTGACGCTGAAGCAAGACACCCATGGGGTAAGCCTGGAAAATGACCAGCATGAATGTGAGAGGGCACCCATGAGGGCCGGGGCGGTGCTCAGACTGTGACTTCCATTTATTATTTACCTGGAGGTGGGACATGACCCTGCCAAGGAGTTTACAAACCACTGGTGGAGTGATCTCTTCAACAAGACTGCAGCCAGCTTGGTAGTGGACACAGGGAAGGTATGAGCTTGTCAGGTGCACTGATGAATGAATGTGTGTCTGGGATGCCACAGGGAGGTACAGCATGCTGCTTTCTCAACCGGTGCTTCCCAACAGGACGGAGTGCAGATAAGGCGCCTTTCCACGGAGACTACCCAGCGTAATCACCCCAAGCCCAATCTGCTGTACCAGAAGTTTGTGAAGGTACCAGAATGAGAGGTGCAGTTCTTTACTGGGTCCCGATCCTTATTTTACAGATGTGACCAAAAGGGTGAAAAACCAAATGCTGAAGAACCCACAGATGGCTTATAAAGGCAAGAAGAATAGAACCCAGGCTTTCCAGCTTCTTACTACAGCTGTAGAAAGCCAGCAGTTAGCAGCATAAATTCTGTGCTCGGGGCTTCCTTCCCAAGTTTCTCCATCTGTTGGCATCTATTTTAGTTCAGGCAGTCCTTGCCTTTCTAGAAACTCTTCCCCTCTGTACAGGTAGCTGGCTTTCTTCAAAACATCCACAGGGTTCTCTCTGAAACACAATCGGATTATGATTCTTTTTGTTTTCAAAATGGATTCTCTGTAGCCCTGGCTATCCGGAAACTCACTCTGTAGACCAGGCTGGTCTCAAACTGAAGAGATATACTTGCCTCAACTTCCCTAGTGCTGGGATTAAAGGTGTGCACCGCCGCCATCTGGCTCCACCCCCTGATTTATCCCTCTTGGCCCACTCCCACCTGTCTCTCTGGACAGAAGCAGGTCTGCTGCTTCTCCTTCAGGAAGCCATGTTCTCCCTCCCGCCCCTTCTCTGCCAGTGCTCTCTCTGCCCGTCACCTGCTAACCATTTCTTGACTTTCAGATTGAGATTATACATAAGCGCCTTCTAGAAACTACTCTCAAACCCTGGCTTGAGCTATTTGTGGGGAGGGCAACATTTATCCTAACTGCTCATGTAATTACATCTGGACTAGATTCATCTCATTCTTTTTTCTATTTATTTTTTGTGCATGTATACATGTTCACATATGTATGGGTACATGTGTGCAGGTGCTCATGCATGTATATTTATATAGAGGCCAGAGGTTGACATTAGATATCTTCCTTGACTAAACTAGGGTCTCTCACTTGAATCCGCCTCTTGCATGCTGGGGTTACAGCACTATGTGGGTGCTGGAGATCGGCACTCAGGTCCTCGTGCGTGCACATCAAGTGCTGTTACCAGCTGAGCTGTCTCCCTGTCTGGACCCATTCATTGTCCTTCTACTCTATCCTGAGCTACATGGCCCATAATAGGTTCTGTTCACCTACTAAACAAAAACTGGGAATAGGAGTGCTGCCTTTTTTGTTAGCTACTGGCACCTACTCCACTATGAAAACTTAAGTTTTCCCTGCTTGTGCTACAGTCAGCCATCTATGAGCCAGAGACGCCCTGGCTGCTATGTCATGGTCTGGGCCAGCCCAGACCATAAATTATTTCTCGAATCATAAGGGAGGCATGGGAATAATTGAGGCACAACTCACATGGCTTTATCGGGAAGTTTTCAGGGATCCCTCATGAAATCCTAAGTTCACATCCTAAAAATTCACCCGTGTTTATTCTCCAAACAGCTTTTATACCAAAACGTAAACTGAGGGGAATTCATTAGCATTCTGTTTCCTGGGTAGCGGGGAGAATGACTGTGGTCAGGTCCACACCCTTCTATGTCCATTTGGTCACGTCTTCCTATCCATCTTCCTGCTCTGTCTGCCTGCTCTGTCATGTAGACTGAATTAACCTCCTTCCCAGGCAACCTCCCAAATTACAAAGAAGCAGCAGAACAACATTAGCATATCCTGACCCTTTGTTTAGGGAGGTGACCACCTCCTGTGTGGCAGCTGCAAATGGTGGCCTAAAATTCTGGCTGCCATACAAAGTAGAAATATGGGCCTGTATATATAATATGGGCCTACAATCCACTCCCTCTTATTTATTGTAATAAAACCTGTGCTTCTGCAACAGGACAGATGATGCGTCTGCCTTAGGCAAAGACTTCACCATTTACTCAAATTTACCTGTCTTTGGAAATTATGTGAGCTCCTGCCTTAGGAATCTGGGAAGAAGAAGCTTCCAACTCTCTCTGACTGCCCACCTCTGTGAACAAAGGGGATTAAGGGAGAGAGACACCTGTGGGCTCTGTGTCTTGGAGCCATATTTTTTTTTGGGTCAGGAGAAATCAATGTTTTATGAATAATCAAGATCCTAAAGACTATAGTCTCCTATTCAAAGGAGAGGAGAATCACCTGAGTTGAAAATGTTTTTTTAGCTGGTTTAGAGCACATCTTGAATGTTTTACATTGCATCAAAATCTAAAATGTTTAACATATGCATTAAACCAACACATTTACAGGGCACATCAAACTTTTCTCAACATCTTATAAGCAGGTCAATACCATAATTAACAATAAATCCATAATTAAATCCAAACATTTATAGAGCCTGTCAAACTTTTCTTAACATTTTATGAGCAGTTATAAACATTATCAGGTCAATACCATAATTTTAGACTGGGAATTAACAATAAATCCACAATTTAACATATCACAGGCTTTTTAAATCCGTATTAATCAAAAGACAAGAAAAGTTTTTTTTCTGGCCACCGTACAAAGCAAAAATATGGGCCCATATAATATGGCCCTACACTGCTCCACTTTCCAATAACTGTGGCCCATCTCCTTCCCAAATTGAAATACGCAGCCTGCATAGCTCTGCAAGGGAACAGTGGTGAGTTGTAGGGCTTCTTAAAGGGAGGAGAGTTGGTAAAGGTATTGGGTTGGCTTCATCCATCTCCACAACTCTTTTCTTCTAGACAGCCACACTAACCTCAGGGGAGGAGAAGCCTGACAGAGCGAGCAGCAGTGGTGACGACAGCCATAAGCCTATGCCTCCAAAGATGTGAGATTGTATTTTGCATTGAGGGCATGTGGGAGGAGAGACCTTGGCATCTTAAGAGGATGAATAAGTAAACCTAATGTTTGACTGGGCTCTTTGAAGGGAGGTTGTAGAATTAGATAGGCTATTCTTTGTATTCTTAGTAGTTAAAAAAGTACCAGGTTTTGAATAAGAAATAGTGAAAATGTACATTTTTTTAGACAGAAAAAAAATCAAGCCTTTTCACCATCTGTTTGTGATTTGTCGTCTGCCCTTACAGTCTGACTGATGAGATGCTACTCAAAGCCTGTAAGGGGCGAACAGCACACAAGTAAGTTGTGGTCGCCTTCTGGGTTTCCCATCTTTTCTGCCTATGCTTTAGAATAGCCGGTGCCACCTCTCAATTATTTCCATCCCAGGGAAATAATTGCTATTGTTGATGCATTTGTGTTTGAAGTTAGGCAGCTGCCCTCCATTCCCAACTTTCTATGCTGACTTGGACCCATTTCTTAGGGCTGCCCGGATTGGAATCACAATGAAGGCCAAACTTGCTCGCCTGGAGGCCCAAGAGCAGGCCTTCCTGGCTCGGTTCAAAGGCTCAGAGGATGTGGGGACCTGTCAACCACAGGCTGACAGGGAGCCCTCCCGAAAGAAGAAAAAAAAGAGGAAACAGAGAGAGGAGGAAGAGGCTGTAACACCTGAAAAGAACGTAGGTGAGGCGCTCCTAGAATACACTGACCAGAGCGTTAAGAAAAGCAGGAAGAAGAAACGGAGGCGGAAAGAAGAGAAAGAGGGAATGGCTATAGGAAGTGGGGAGGAAGAGGCTGAAGGAGAAGGGGGGCCTAAAGAGCTGAGCACAATGCAGTCTGATCAGTCATCTAGGAAAAAGGAGAAAAAGAGGAGGCAGCACCATGAAGAAGAGGGGAAGATGGGAGTCTGTGATAAAGGAGGCAGAGATATGACAGGCAGGCCAAAGGCAGCGGACAGTGGAGCGGGCACAGACCCGTGGAGAAGCAGCAAGAAACTGCAGCACTGTGGGGAGGTCTTGGACACCCAAGCTGAAGAAGGGAAGGATGGCCTAACAAAAGGAGAGAGAAAGGTCAGAAGAGGCAAGAAGAAAAGACAGAAGTGTCGTGAGGAGGTGGTCTTGGACGTAAGCGATAAAGATGATGACAGCAGGACTTGGGAAGTAGAGAATGAAGGTGAGAGAAGTCAGGCACATCCAAAGGAGAGAGCTGGCATCAACACTGACCAGAGAGCTAAAAAGAAGAAGCAGAAGAGGGACCGAAGGTCTCCAGTGTAGCCCTGCTGACTCCTCTTCAGGGGTAGCCTGGGTTTGCCCCTCTGCAAGCAGCTAAGGAGCACCAGTCCGCTGAGGAAAGCGAAAGCATTCAGTGCTAGCTGAGGGGTAGACATTCCCTGAACAATGTCCTGTCCAGAAAGTACAGACCCTGGTGCCCAGCTAAAGGATGATGGAAGAGAAATTGGGGTAGGAGTTTCTATTTGAAGAAGTGTCTCTGGTAAAGTCTGAAAATGTAGACTTATGTGAAAAGACAGTTTGTTTTGTTATTTGAGACAGGATTTCTCTAATATATCTCATGCTTTCCTAGAACTCAGAGATCCACCTGCCTCTACCTTGGCCTGTACTACTATACCCTGAAGAATGTTTTCATTTTTAAATACTGTGAAGATTAAGAAAAACATACATTTAGATGTATGGGCTGGGTTAGCCTTCCAGACTGCCTGTTTCTAATCATGATTAAATGAGAGCTTGGCTCCCAAGCCTATAGGTCATTCCCAGTTAACATCATCATTTCCAGCATGTGAAGTTCTGAAAACAAATTAGACGGCCCTTGGAGACTTTTGAAGAAACTCTGTTACCCTCTTGGGGTCTCGCTACAATGCTAAGCTGAGTTTGTTTAGAGGTATCATTCCTGGGTAAAGGCTATCACACCTGAAAATAACAATGGAGTTATTTTCTATTGCTTACAAATGCCTGGTCTGTTTCCGCAAGCAAAGTGTAGCCTGCTGATGAATATTAAGGCCAGAAGACTCCAATTTGAAGAGACGGCACCAAGCCTTTATTAGAAAGCTGCCCGCCCACCTCCCTTACTGTAAACGGTAGACACACTCTGTGTCAGGGTAGGACGGGAGGTTTAGCTGGTACTTCTTTTCTAGAGCAGGTGGTACAAAACGTCCCCCCAGGTAATGATACCGGCCAGTAAACTGGGTTGCAGACTTCTTGGGAGCTGTCAGTGAGATGAGTAAGTCTGGTTGGATTCCTCCAGGGTTTCCTTTCTCTACATCCCATCCTGAAGAGAGAAAGTGGTATGAGGAAGTAAAGATGGTCTAGTCCTTATGAATAGGTAAACTCTTAGTCTCAGTACTATTGGGTTTGGGTTTTCCCACAGGGTCAGCATGAACTTTGCTCCCCAGCCCTAATGTGGGGCATGGAAAGGTACATTCAGATTATTTTAGATCTGGTCTATACTGTGGATCAAGAATCCAGTCCTCTGGGTACCAGCCTGAAGACAAGGTGGAACACCAGACCCCCGCACCATCTGGGTCCCAGCACCTGAGGGAATGTCGATGCTAGCAATAGGCACAGTAAGTCCACTCAGGACACTCAAGATGCTGTGGAATGGCTCCCGAACATCACCCTTGAAGCTGAAACCAAAGATGGCGTCCACCACCAGTTCATACAGTTCATCAACCATCATGGGCTGTAGGGGAGCAGGAAGAATGTCAGGAACTGTTGTCACATAGGAAGGGCTGTCCCTGCACCCACAGACCACAGAGGTATAGAGATAATTGCTTCCTAAGGTGCAGACTGCGGCCATTCTGAATTCAGGCATATGTTCTATTCTGAGTGCCTGCCTGCCTGCTTCCTTTGGGGAGAAAGGGGCTGACAGTGTAGGGAGCCTGAGCCTGGAAGCCAGAAGGGACCAATTCTGCCTTAGCTTTGCCTTGTTCCGATTCTGTGATTCTGGGCAAACCGTTTCTCTGCATGTCAATATCTCCATCTATAGAGTAAGTTAATTCTTTAAATTTCAGATTTCCCACCCCTAAATCCATGAATCTACAGAAAAGGCTTAGGATGAGGCCCTGAGGGTCAGGTCTATGATAACTGCACGCTGGGGGAGAAAGCTGACTGCAGAACAGGGGTGCCCGGATCTGCTAGTGTTGGGAAGTGCTGGAGCACACACTATGGAGGGGCTCCTACACTGCTGCTGCTACTTGGAGAGCAACTTTTATGGCAGGCAACTCGGTCTGAAAACATGAAGGGAAGGGCAGAGGCAGTACTTACTGGGGAGATGAGATATAAGCCACCTACCTCTGGGGGCATTTCACTAAGGAAAGGAATGTCCATTTTCTGACACTGAGTCACTAGCCCAGTGAAGAGTGGCTTGTTAGGTTTTTTGGGGTAATAGATAGTTGGCTGGTAACCCTGGTTGGAAAGGAAAGTAGCAATTCAGTCTCTGATTCCAGATTGCTTATACCTTTTTACAAAGACTAGCTCATATACTCACAAAAAGTTTGAGGTGTCGCGCGCAGACCAGGCCGTCCCCTCCATTATTCCCGGGGCCACAGATGACCAAGACGGTAGGGGGACTCTTGGACATGGACGAAGGGGGATAAGCCTGAATGAAGGCAGAGGCGCAAAGGGTGTGGCAGTCACGGCCCTCTGCTCCACCGCGGGAGGCCTCCCCACATGCCTCCCAAGGTTTTGCACCGCGCCACCTACCTTGGCAATGGCCGTGGCACAGCTCAGCCCGGCCAGCTCCATGAGCTGATCCACGCTGAATTGGTATTCGTTAAATAGCTCCTCGTCCACGGCCCGCGCCTCTTCCTGGCTGTGGGAAGTCCTGGCCTGAGTCCACCGCCCGGGCGCTGGGGGCGCGGCCTGTCCCGCCCCGCCCCCGTGGAAGAAGGTGGTCGTACCTCAGGTACTTCACCGCGGCGCTCGCCATGGTCTCCGAGCCCCGGCGCGGCGTTCCCCACCAGGCAGGCCCTGCAACGCACACACTCTGCCGGCCTGCGACCCGGGGCAGGCGCGAGCCCGCAACCAGCAGCCCGACACCCAGCAGCGCCCGCAGCCCGGACATTCGGCACGCTGCACTCCCCGCCCAGCGCATGCGCACGGCCTCCAGCGCCGTTTGCGTCCAGCCGTAGGTTCCGTGTCCCAGGCGTGCCGCGCACCTTCGTTCCGCCTTGCATTCTCGCCTTTCCCCAGCGCTATAAGAGCTCATACAGACACGCTTTGCTCGCTACCTAGCACTCTGTCCTCCAACTCAAGCAGCTCTTCTGCCTGCAGCTTTCTTCGTGGGAGATTGGCATTACACGCATGTACCATCCTGCCCAGCTCTTTTTTTTTAATTATAAGAGAATTAACTTTTCTAGGTTCCTACTTTTTTTTAAAATATTTATTTATTTATTATGTATACAATATTCTGTCTGTGTATATGCCTGCTTGCCAGAAGAGGGCACTAGACCCCAATTACAGATGGTTGTGAGCCACCATGTGGTTGCTGGGAATTGAACTCAGGACCTTTGGAAGAGCAGGCAATGCTCTTAACCTCTGAGCCATCTCTCCAACCCTAGGTTCCTACTTTTTAAAATATTTAAAAGGTGAGGAGGCGCGCACGTGCCCCTGGTGCACACGTAGAGTTCAGAGGCCAATTTGAGAGCGTCCGTTTTCTCTCCATCCACCATGTAGGATCCAGGAATCAAAGTTTGGCAGGCTCTCCAAGTCGTCCTATGGGCCCCTGCCATTCCTGTTTACTAATTTAATGTAGGGAAATAGAATTTGTAAGGCAGTAGTATTGGCTGATAATTTAGATATTCATCTAACTGTACTTCAAGTCCAAGGTTCCAGGGTCTTATTCAGAACCTCACTAGCTTTATTTTCTGATTTCATTAGCCTGTGAGTGACTTTTACATGTTACTCAAGACTCCTTGTAGAATTTCTGGAGAAAATAAATTTGGTCTTAAGCTGTTTGTTTGTTTGCTTTTAGTTGGCTGCTGTGTAAAGTTTTTCCGGCCCAATAAGCCTCTCTGCCAATGAATAATCCAAATCAGACCAAATCAAACTGAATTAGAAAAAGCCTAGGTTTAATGGGTGCCAGGGCTTGGGGTAGCCCTCAGGAAAACACAGAGAGGGAGAAGGAGAACTGGAAAGACCTCAGGTTTGGGCTGGGGGAGGGGAGCAGTTTAAATAGCCTGTGGGCGTGGTCTTTACCCTCTCTGGGGAGGGGTCACCATTTGGCAGATTTTCTCAGAGGTGGAGTCTGGACTGCTCCAACTCCCAGGGGAGGGGACTTGGGGTGGAAAGTTTCACGCAAAACGTTTTAGAATGATTGCCAAGGAGCTGGAGTGAGGCTTCCTACCAAACATCCCAGACTCCTTGAGTAAAGGGGTGCCAGGGGCTGGGGTGACACTTTAAACCATACATCCCAGACTCTTTGGATATAGGGGGTGCCAGCTCAGGTCTGGCTACTTTCTGCTGAGGAGAGCTGGGAGTTGGTGGGCTCACACTCAGAGAGAGGTATGGCTGGAAAGGCATCCAGTTTACTGTCACCCTGAAGACCCTGAGGGAGATGAGAAGGCAGGTGGCTAGGAGAAAAAATACATTGTTATTATTGGCCCTATGAATGGGGCTAGCCATGGGAATGGTCATTAACTGCCAGAAAGAATGGGACAGAGAGGTGCCCTGGTTGTACTGGTGAGACTCAGGTGAATAAGTGAGACAAGAGAGCAGAAATGCCCTTTTAAAATCAGATTTTAGATGGTTGGTGTCCTTTTGAACCAGGAGAGTTGGTACCAATGGTGAAGTCCCAGGAGCTGGTACAGGTGTTGGCCTTAACTGGAGGGCCCTTTGTAAATTGGTCTTGGCCCAGACAGCAGGAGTGACCTGTAAAATATGCTTGAAAACAGGTGGGATTAAAATAGGCTTTGGAGACTGTTAGTTTTTACCAGACCTGATTTTTGATACAGCAGCAGAACTTCTTCTAGGAACCTGTAGATATCTGTAAGACAACTGGAACAGGAACATTTTAGAAGACAATTAAAGGGAATTGGGAACTCTGGATCTCTGAAGATACATCTGAAACCTGTTAATCCTAGTCTATGAAGCCTGTGAAAGAGGCACACCTGTCTGTATTTTTAGTAGGAAAATTAACAAATAAAGTAGTGAGTTACCAGTACCTTAAGTCATCAAATGCCATTAGACAGATCTGGGAGGGATAAATGAGCAGAAATAAGACACGTTTTTTTAGCTACACAGGCAATGCCAAGTCACTCCGTAATAATCTTTGGTGAACACCAGTCTAAGAAGCAATACTTGCTGCTAGCTGCTGAGTCCAGGAGGTCCGAAGATTTTACTGTGTGTGAGGGAAGGATTTAGTCTACCTGTCTTGGCAGGATGAGACAATTGATCCCCCTGTGTAGCGTCCAAGAAGCTGATAAGGTGGAAGGCCACATTTTGCTGTGTGGGTGGCTTTGCCATACCCAAAGACTAGCCTCCAGACAGAAGGTCTTCTGTAACCATATATCTTCTCGGAGAGGCTAAAGGATGCTGCAGGAGCTGGCATGTCTCTGTGTTCGAAACTCTTTTGTTAAATGCCATACTCTCAGATCTGTAAAGGCACTTGAGAGTCAGGGTACCATTACCTGATTGTTATATTTAAATTAGACATATAAATTAAATTTAGACATGTACTTTACCCAATTAGTTAGAGCTTACCAATGCTAGTAAAATGTAAGAATATTAAAAGGAATAATTTAATAAGTCAAAGAATTTTGGAGACAGAATGTCTCTTTAGTAGGTCCAGCACATGTGGGTACTCTTACCCAAGATGGCACTAAGGTCAAAATGGTGGCTACCCACGTTTATATTTTTCCAGAGCTGTTGTAATCTAGAGTTACAAGTTTAAAGATTTTAAAACACGCACACATACACACAGAGAAATAATACAAGCATCCTATGGAAACAAACACAAATATACACATAGACATAAAAGCAGAGTGTGGCCACATTATTTTAACAGACAGACAAATGAATTTTTTTCTTTTTTATTATTTTAAAATTATATATATATATATGTATATATATATATAAAAATATGGAACGCTTCACGAATGAATTTGTGTGTCATCCTTGTGCAGGGGCCATGCTAATCTCGGTATCGTTCCAATTTTAGTGTATGTGCTGCTGAAGCGAGCACCAAATAAATTTTTTTTCGAAACCTGTGTCAGCTGACCAACTTAAAAACTCTGGTGTAGGTGGCAGAAACCAGGAAAGTGTAGGCCCATATTTCTTTATGGTGTAGCAGCCAGGCTCTGAAGCCATTGGGCTGATCTGAAGTGATCACATAGCCCTGCAGACAGGCTGTCTCTGCCTGACAAAGGTCAGGATGTTGGCTGCTCTCTTTGTAATTTAGAGGATGCCTTATAGAGATGCTAATTCAAGCCTATGTGACAGCTAGCATACTCTGCAGACAAGTAATGTGGACATGACAAAAGGCCATTCACCTGGTTGCCTAGGTGACAGAATGATGATGTATTTTCCCACACAGTTTATGTGTTGATATAAAAGCTGTCTGGAGAATAAATGCGGGGAGATCTTCAGGAGGAAGGAGCCTGAGATGCCCTTTTCCGTAATAATGGTGTAAGCTGTGTCTGGTTATTCCTTGCGCCTCTGTACCAGTCCAGTTCGGGAAAATAAATATCTGTGTTGGAGCCACATGGGCTTTAACATGGAAGCACACAGGTGGTCCCATTAAGGACCAGATTAGCAAATGCTGCAAGAGAGAACCGAAATAAAGTACAGAACACCTATGCAGTCTTAGAGTGAAGGAGGGGGAGAACAGATCCTTTATAGAGAGTCCCAGAGAGAGACAAATAGCAAACAGCCAGAGAAGTGTGGAGGGGAGCAGGGAAGGGGCGTGGAGCAGAAGCACAGCATCCAGAAATCATTAGCATACTGAGGTTTGTTTGTTTTACATTAGGTGTTAAGGGATGTAGGTGTCAGATAGCCCCAATTTAAAAGGATTTTTATAAAAGGCAGCCCAAGGGCGTTTGGAGATCAGGCCTTGAATTGTTTTGTTTTGGTTTTGGGGGAGGGTTTATTTTGTTATTGTTTTGGTTTTGGTTTTGGTTTTTCCGAGATAGGGTTTCTCTGTAGCTTTGGAGCCTGTCCTGGAACTAGCTCTTGTAGACCAGGCTGACCTTGAACTGATAGAGATCCGCCTGCCTCTGCCTCCTGAGTGCTGGGATTAAAGGTGTGCACCACTACCACCCGGCTCATGCCTTGAATTGTAAGTGCCCATTTTTACAAATCTATGCCAAGCCTCAGGACTCAAAGCCTACCACAATGCATCCACTATGATAAGACTCTTGAGCCAAAAAACAGGAGGGCGTGAGAATTCCATGGAAGTGTAACCTCTCAGTCTCAGTGCCTTAGTACTTCCCCCGTACCAGGAAATCTAACAACTCTACATGCACGTACTAAAATGTTGAGAACTTTCCATCATCTCCCTGAGTCCTTGTGAATGTTCTCCAAATAAAACTCAGTTATTAAATAGGGGCAATATAACCCTTAGGTGTTGACTCAGTTCCTGGTGTTTTGACTCAGTCCCTGGGAAAGAGGCAAAATGACCCTCAGATGTTTCCTCTTACCTTACCTGATCTGGCCACTCTCCAGCCAATCATAATAGTTAAAGAACAACCCCCAGACACACCCCCCCTTGTTTCTGTGGCTTTTTGCTTTAAAAGTAGCCTGTATCAGCCATTCGGGGTCTTTCTTTCTGGCTTCTTGAATACTGAAAGACCCTGTCATGACAAAATTAATAAAATCCTCATCAGCTGTGGTGTGAGAGGTAGTCTCTTGGGGTAACTCCTCCTCAGTGATTGGACTCTAGGGTCCAACAGAAGGACATCTCCATCCCACGGAAACCCACAAGCGTGAGGACTGCCTTGCCCCTTAGGTGGGGGAAGACCCTGGGCCTTAGGGGTCTTGACTTGGAGAAGGGGAACTCACCCAAAGTCGAACTTAGCCTATCAGAAAGCAAGGGTCAGAAGGGCTAACTCATAGCCCTGGGCCAGTGGGGGGGAAAAAAAAAACAACCCTCTCAGTGGGACCTCCAGATGTAAAGTTTTTCAGGTCCAATAATCCTCTCCGCAATACAATAATCCAAATCAGCAAATCAGACCAAATCAAACCAAATTAGAAAAAGCGCATGTTTAATGGATGCCAGTGCTCCCTGGTGCCCTCCAGAAAAACACGGAGAGGGGGAAGGTGTTGCAAGGAGGCTGCTTGTTGATTCCTGGCCGCTTAGCCCCAAAATAATCACACAGAAACTATATTATTTAAAACACTGCTTGACCCATTAGCCTTAGCTAACTCTTAAATCTAAATTTAACCCATTTCTATTAATCTGTGTATCACCACATGGCTGTGGCTTACCGGGTAAAGTATTGGCGGCTGTCTTCTGTGGGGCTAGATGGCTTCTCCCTGTCTCTGCCCTTCTTTCTCCCAGCATTCAGTTTAGTTTTCCCCACCTACCTAAGTTCTGCCCTATGAACAGGCCAAGGCAGTTTCTTTAATCACCAATAATATTCACAGCACACAGAGGGGACTCCCACCTTCCCTCCCCTTTTCTGTATAAATGAAAAGGAAGGTTTTAACTTTAACATAGTAAAATTACATATAATGAAACAGATATAAAGCAGAATTAGTTACAATGTTTATGTCTACTTTATCTTTTATCATAATTAACAAAAACTATATCTACTTACTATCTATTCTTCAACTCCATCAAAGACGAAAGGAGAACAGGAAAGACCACCTGTTCATACTCTGGGGGCAGTTTAAATAGCCTGTGAGTGGTCTTCACCCTCTACGGGGAGGGGTCACTGTTAAATATATTTTCTTGGCAACAAACCTCTTTGCCGCTGCAAATAATCTCTGTCAAACCAAATCAGACCAAATTAAAAGTTACCCAGGTTTAACAGGCACCAGGGCTCCCAGGTGGCCCTAGGAAAACATGGTGGGGGAACAAAAATGACCACCTGAGAGGAAAAGCGAAAACCACATGTTCATTCTCTGGAGGCAGTTTAAATAGCTTGTGGGAGTGGTCTTGACCTTCTCTGGTGAGGGGTCACCATTTGGTGGACTTTCTCAGAGGTGGAGTTTGGACTGAAGCAACTCCCAGGGGAGGGAGCTTCAAATGGAGTTCTCAGCCCAGCATTCCAAAACTGGATGCAGGGGCGCTGGGGTGAAGCCCCTGACTAAGTATTCCAGACCCATTGTATAAAGGGGTGCCAGGAACCTGAGGTGATGTTTCCAACCAAATATTTCAGACTCTCTGGATAAAGGGGCACTGGCTCCAGTCTGGCTACTTCTGGCAGGCATGGGGCAATGTGGGAGAGGGGAGAGCTGGGAATTGTTGGGCTCATGCTCAGCGAGAGGTGCGGCTGGAGAGGCATTCGGTTTACTGCCATCCTAGAGATGCCAGGCATCTGTTCCTTGAGGGAGATGAGAAAGTAGGTGTCTCGGAGAAAAATATTGTTATTACCCGTCTTATTTGTACCAACAAAGATGAGTATGCCAGGACAGGAGCAGATAGGCTCTTTATTGTGGCATCTTGGAAAACCAGAGGGTGAAAGGTCCTAACTGCTGGACAGACCAAGTGTCCTGAGTAGGTGCCCACTTGAGCCTGGAGAGACGGTACCAGCATGGGTGTCCCAGAAGCTTGGCAGCCAAGTGGGTGGTGAGGATTACCGTGTGAGGTCCTGTTCATCGAGGTTCAGGAGACCTAGAACTAGCTGTTTGAGGAATACTCTGTCCCCTGGGAGGAGTGGAGCAGATTCAGGGACATTAGGGTACACTGGTGTAGGGGCAAGGAGACAGTTGTCAGCATGTGAACGGAGAAGGAACCTCAGAAGGGAGAGGTAGGGTAGATACTCCACACCAGTGGAGGAGTTTGGACTGGGAGGTGATGGTTAAGGAGAAAGGGCCTGCCATAAAGGAGCTCAAAAGGACTCAGACCCTCAGGGAACATAGGGTGGCCCTGAGACAAGTAAGGGCAACGGGGAGAAGGGAGGGCCAAGATAACCTGAGTTCAATGGAGAGCTTGGTCAGCTGTTGCTTGCTGAGTGCATTGACCCTCTCCACCTTTCCCGATGGTTGTAAGCAGTAGGGGATGTGGAGTTTCCAGATGTTGAGAGCTTCTTACATGAGTTCCATGACCCTGGAAGTGAAGGCTGGCCCATTGTCCATCTGGATGGTTTCTGGGATGCCAAACTGAGGAATGATGTGGTCCAGGAGTACCTGAGCCATCACGTCTGCCATTTCCCTGGAGACCAGAAATGCTTCTATCCATCCTGTAAAAGTGTCCACAAGTGTTAGGAGATAGCAGAGTTTTTTATGAGTAGGCGTATGGGCAAAATCAGCCTGCCAATCTTAGCCCAGCTGGTGTCCATGAAGCTGATGCAGAGGTTGACATATATGGAGAGCCCCCTGTGGATTGGCCTGGGCACACGTCTGGCAGGAGGAGTGAACCTGTGAAATAGAATCTCGAAGATGGCTGGGGTCAAAGAGGGGCTCTAAGAAATGGAACAAAGCTTTGGGCCTTATGTGCAAGGTCTGGTGGATGTCTGAAATGATTGCCAATGCCTGGTCTTGAGGAAGGATGAGACAGTTATTTATAGAACCATCCATCCTTAGTTTTCGTGGTTCCCTTTTTTATGATCTTGTCCCTCTCTTCTGGTTAGAAAAGAGGTGATAGGTTAACACCTCTGAGCCTTGGCATTGCCTGAAGCCACTGGGTCCTTGGGGGATTGGTGTCCCCGACAGTGAATAATGGCTACTTTTGCAGGGAGCTGGAGGGCCTCCAAGAGGTTGGCTATAAGGGGTCCATTAATATGAGAGTACTCTTGGTAGTAAGGAAGCCCTTTCCTTCCAGAGTGCAGAATGGATATGGGCTATTAAGAAGGCATATTTAGAGCCAGTGTAGATATTAGCCCATTGGCTCTTGGCTATTTGGAGTGCTCTAGTCAAGGCAATTAATTTGGCCTTTTGTGAGGAGGTTCCCATTGGCAGGCGGGTTGCTTCAGTGTGTTAGTGGAAGTGACCACTGCATGCACTGTCTGGAGGTTTCCTGATTTATCTGTAAGGGAACGTCCATGAACAGACAGGGTGAGTTGGGGATTTGTAAGTGGCTGG